TGTTAGTAATGTATTTGAAAATTTGCTTTGACCTTTTCAGAGATGTGAGCTCCAGGGCTTCAGTAGCCATTGATGAAAATTAAACAAACCTTTTTCAAAGATTATCCTTAGTTTTTATTTTCCTAATTAATGCTGTTCAGTTGCTTTGTCACAATCTGTATTGTTAAAAGCGCTATATAAATAAAGGTGACTTGACTTAGTTTTAATAATAATTTTGTTATTAGTAGTACTATTAGCCTATTACATTGAGTAATATATTTCTTTCACAAGTTACTTGTTAAACCAAACTTTTATTTTGACTCTGAAGACCTTTAACCCATTTAATTCCACCGGTCACAATAGTGACCGTAAAAAAGGTTTTCATTTATAAAGCTCTAAAATCCTTACTAACTGATGTTTTAGTGCACTTCCTGCAAATATGGAAAAAATAAAGGGTCTCAATGAAATGTGTGCTGTTTCACATGATTAGTGCAAATTGTCACATGACTAGAACAGTTTATTTCCTGTTTCCACCTTGAGAAAATAATGGCTGCATCAAAGCTCCGAAATGAAAGGCTAGTAAAGTATGTTAACATAAAGATATAACAAATATTTATTTGTACACATTATCTTTAAGGTGTCTAGTATTAATATATGAATTCACATATATTCTTGTTGAGTGTGGTCATAGAATGAGTAAATGGTACAAAAAAATTTCAATATTGTTGTTGTAATACTGGTAGTACGAATATAAAAATTTGATGATATATTTTACAAAAAAAGTAACAATTTTGAAAAACGTTGATGGTTGTATTTTTTTGTATTATATCTCAGTATTCCTATCAATGCTGTATAAGGGTTTTTATGCATAACAGTACCCCTAGAATGTGATCAAACAGTTTAAAATAGCTGGGCTAAAATATATAACAATTTTTATGACTGCAGAAATATGTTAATTCAGTACACACATTATCCCACCGGTCACAAATTTTATGACTGGATTCAGCGATTCCGTCCGCGTTTCTGAAAAATCATAGGGCCCAATATATCTGTACCTTGATCGATTACCTAATAGGTTTGACATGCTGTAGTTACATGGAATAAAATATGCAAATATTTGATAACGTACTAATATGAACTTTGTCAGAGTTTCCGCTGCTGGTTTATAGATGTTTTGATAAGAGCATGTTAAATTCATGTGGGATCTGAATTTAAGTGCAATGAACGGTTCAGAGTTCAGTAAAGAGCCACACGCATGCCCACACCTCCAACAACCAATAACATTCATTGATATCTGGCATCAAAGATAGATGCCACGATATAATAATTATCATATGACTTCAATTAACAGATTATATTGCAATCACTGAACCTGGTGAGGTATATGTATGATTGCTTAGCAATTTCAGAAGCTTATTACAAAAGAACAATTTCTCCTTTCTTCAAAATACTGTTTTTCTAACATCCATTCAGTATGTTTCTTCATTCAGTAAATAAATAAATAATGTTTTGACAGAGTGGCATTGGTAATTCAAAGTACAGTCATCATTTTTATGGCAACCAATAAATCATAAAAATGTGACATCAGTAACTGACCTGACGTCAGGTAGGTGTGTTAGTCTAGTCAAATATAGTATTTATAATCCATCCTCTCCTCACTATAGCACTCGAGAAGAAAGGCTTACATGCTTAAAGTCTGCTTAATATTTCTCAGTTTTAACTAAACAAAATATTTACATCATGTGTACAGGAAAGTGCTCCAAGTTTATTGGGATCAGCCTTTATCCGCTGGCACTGCTATCCATCATCTGCAACATTTTTCTGTTCTTCCCTGATTTTCAAACCACTTATTCTAAGGAGGCAGCAGAGGGACTCTACCGTCTTACGGATGAGATCAAATACATGGGAGGCGTTGTTGGAGGAGGCATCTTGGTGAGGAAATTCTCCTCTTTCTCATTGTATTGCCGCTGAGTTTTCCTTTGACATTTCTGTTGTCGGACCAGTTTATTGGCACTATTTACTGGAATATCCTAAAAAGAGAGCATTCATTGTAGGCAACATCTGATATAGTTTTGATTGTTTTTCCCTTTTAGGTGTTGATCCCTGCGATCCACATTCATAGCACTGGGAGTCAAGGCTGTTGTGCAAACCGCTGTGGGGTGAGTTCTTCTAGGGTCACCGCTTTGATTTGATTTTTTTTTTTTTTTTGAGGTCTACACTCTAATATATTTTAATAATTGAAATACTGCCTAACCTTTACAGCAGGTGTATCCACTTTACTTAAAAAAGGAATATTCATCATTTTAAAGAGATATTTTCACCCAAAATAGAAACATTCTATCATCATTTACTCACCCTCACGTCATTCCAAACATGCTCTTCTACACTTTCCATTTAGTGACCCTTTAATAAACCTATTACGGTTGTGTTGACTTTGTCCATTAGATGTTCCTGTCCATTATCTTCGCTGCAGTTGGTGTGACTGGTGCCCTGTACAGTGGCACTATAGCTGTGGTTGGACTGATTCGTGGACCAGTTTGCAGTGTTGAAGATGGTACATGGAGCAGACCATTCCTAAACAGGTATGAAAATTAATGGTCCATCACATTTCAAAGGGCCTAAGAGGGTCAAGGGGTTCTTTTCAGAACTGAAAACATCCTTTCCAGCCCGAAAATAACATTTATTGCAAACGACTTATAGAGAGAAATAGAGGCTCCCTCTCTCTCTCTCTCTCTGGCCCTATTAAGTGTTTGTGGAGCGCTACTGTTTTTGTGACAGGTTTTTTGTTGTTGTTCTTGTTATTTATTATTATTATTATTATTATTTACTATTTACTATTTTGCAGCACTGCAAGCTATTTGGGAGACTCTGACCTTTGGGACATTTGCAAAGAACCAGAAAATATTGTGGAGTTTAATATTGGCCTGTTTTCTGCTCTGCTGGTGGCAGCTTGTTTAGAGCTGCTGCTCTGTGGATTCCAGGTGCTCAACGGTCTCTTTGGCTGCATCTGTGGTACATGCAGTCACAAAGAGGTATGTACTCTACATAAAAAGGTGACAATTTCTAAAGGTCAAATCATTTATTTACTGCATTTATTGCTAATAGTTTTGCAATATCTAGATACTGATTTATGGTTTCAGCATGGTGCCTTATAAGATTTTCTGATAGTGGGTCTAAATTATGCTTTGTTCCTTTAGGTGGCATAAGTTCAAAATGACAACAGACTGGGTCAACACAGGATCAATATTTATTACCAAACACGTATCAGTCTTCATTACCGATCGGTAACCTTTAGCAAATGTGGGAGTGTACAGTAATAAACAAGAAAGGACCGTACTTCAAACGTACTTCACTGACTAACATTATATGTTGTCTGTTAAAACATTATTTACAGATTGAGAAAATGTGGCAGGACAACCTTACTGGTAATTTCCAAAAGAAAGAAATAAAACTGGTCCATTTTTGTATAATTGTAAATATGTTACAATTGTATTTTTTCTTATATTATGTTGTGAAATATTCAGCAATATCCAGATGTTATGTTAATATGAATGTATTCATGTTATCATTGCAAAATATAATAAAATAATGTTCTTCAAACATCATCTTCAACAGGTTTTAAGTTTACTTTTGTCACTGAATTACATCTGTGCATGTGTATCAAGAGTAATAGCACATGCAACCATTTTTTTTGACTATGATCTAAATGTATCCAGATATTTAAAGCATTTTACTCTTAAAAAAAGGATTTAGCTGGTGTAGTTGGTTGTAGTGGCTGAAATAAAACTCATAAAACTATTTTAACTGGCCTTGGCTTCTTTATTACTCTTTTGTGATAATCTCTTTGATTTATTACTGAGGAGTGTTTTTTGGATTTGTTCTGCATTATGTTCATTCATTAGTGTTTTAAGCAGCATTAAAGGGGACCTAAAATGAGGACAGAAATGACAAGCAGCGGACTGTTTCTGCTCTCACCGCAAACGCATTTCCTGAGGTGAAGTTGAGGAGACTGCAACACAAGTGCCGTCTTGGTTCATTGGCATCAGTACCAGCCAAAGAAACTCTCTTCTACAAAACACAAACGGTGAGTGCAATTACAACATCCGCATAATCATTTCCCACGTTTTCTTTTTTAATAAGGCATCTTTGACAGCTTTGAGTTTTGTGTAATTTACCACTTTTTTTAAGCAACTATTTGTTCACATAAAAATGTGTGAATCTGAATGAGAAATTAATTTTAGCTCATCTTAAAATATAAGATTAGAAGATACATTAATGTGTATTAAACGCATTTGACTTATCTGCCATATGGCTTGTCTATACATTTAAAATGGTATGTTTTTGGGCAGTCCTGACTTTTAACAACTTCTATATATAATAGTAATACATGCTAGTAAATAGTATATTATTTTCATTTAGTGTGCAAGTAGCACGTACAGGCTATAAATAGATTTAAATAAACCAAGCAAGAGTGCTACTGAATGACAGCTCATTTTATGTTCAACGGTAAAAGTGTCATTTATATGATGAAGCCAACGAAGTAAAAACTACCTCAGAATATAGGCTAAAGAAGTTTTCTTTTTTCTTCAGCTTTTTTTAGCTCACATAATCCTTGCACAAAATCTATCAACAAAGATGACAAATGTGTGGGTGCCAGGATGGCAAGATCTGAGATGCTCATTGTACCCTTTATCAGACTGTTCATGTCACTTGACCTTTAAAAATACACATTTCAACACTACACTGGTTTCTAAACACTCTGAGGAGGAGGAAAGATTTATTCTCAGAAACTTTCATATTTCCCACGCATACAAGCTACTACATTCTTGCAAAACTCTGCCGAACATCTGCAAATAACCAAGATATCTTCTTGGTGCAAAAATTGTTAGGCATGACATTGTTGCATTAACAATCATTACACAACCATTTGTTTCTCTGTCATTACAGGCCATTGAAGGTTAGTTCAAGAAGATAAATCCTAAGAACAGCGATGTCACATCCTATGAATATGACATGTCAGAATATGACATGTCCAAATCGAGAACAAGACCGGGTTTTTGTTGGTGTGTTTTCAGTGGTCTTCATATTTGGCCTAACCCTCAACCTGACCGCACTTGTGGTTTTTCTCCGTAACTCTAAATCCCGTTCTCACACCACCGTGTACATGATTCACCTGGCCTTTGCTGATATTCTTCTGGTTTGTACACTTCCTGTGCGGATCTATTTCCACAGTGTGTTGCCACAGGGTCTGCCTCAGGATATCTGTGAAATTACCGGTCTCATAATGTTAAGTAACATGTACAGCAGCATCTTCCTCCTCATGTGCATTAGCTTTGACCGTTGCATAGCAGTCTGCTTCCCGCTGTCTTCCCATGTCCGTGAGGGCCGCAAGAAAGCATGGTGCGTGTGTCTGGGAATCTGGATCCTAACTATCGCAACAAGCTTACCGATCTACTTCAGAAAGAAGAAAGAGTACAACATCACATGTTTTGGTGGTTTTCCTTCCTATGCAACTGAAAAAGCTCCTCTTGTTTCCACTCTTATTATGGGGTTTGGGATCCCACTAATCATTATGATCCTCAGCTCATGGGGGCTCATCCGGGCTATAAGCAAAAGCACGGCTGTCCAGACCAGCGACCTGGTAGACAGCGTAAGGATTAAAAGGATGATAATAACAAACTTGGCCATCTTTCTGTTCTGTTTTCTGCCATATCATATTATGCTCTTGATACTTTATGCCAGTGAATGTTCGTGCCCACTGTTAACGGCCTACAGGTACAGCCTCATGGTAGCTTGCCTGAATGCAATGCTGGACCCTGTGGCGTACTACTTCACAACGGAGACGTTTCGAAGAAAAATGGACGTTGAAGCTGTACGCAAAATATGGCAAATGAACAGTCACAGCTCGGATGGAAACACTCGCTCACGTGCCCCACTCACAACATAAGAACATGGGTCTACTCAACTATAAAGATCATAATAAGTGTTAATGTAGGCTAGGTCTCTCTCGCTTACACTGACGCAGTTAGCATGATCGTTCATATATAGATTTCTGCTTTTATAAGAACAAAACAAGATGAAAGATAATCGTGTATGACTCAAATTTTTTTTAAAAAGGAAACCGCAAGAAGTCAGACTTTTCACCTTTCTAAACTGCATGCAAGCACAGCGTGTGCAAAAGTATGTGTGCTGTGTAGCCTTGGTCTTTATCATATATGCATCTCTGATCAAGTAAATAAATGACTCATTTAGCCATTGATGTGCAACCCCTATTTTTTGTTTACAATAAACTCTCACTGGGAAACCATTGTAATAAATATAACCAGTGTGACAAATTAGGATAATTATTTTTTGATAAATGTACACAAAAGACAGTGAACATATTCTAAGACAGATTAGAGCATTTTATCATATATGCATCTCTGATCAAGTAAATAAATGACTCATTTAGCCATTGATGTGCAACCCCTATTTTTTGTTTACAATAAACTCTCACTGGGAAACCATTGTAATAAATATAACCAGTGTGACAAATTAGGATAATTATTTTTTTATAAATGTACACAAAAGACAGTGAACATATTCTAAGACAGATTAGAGCATTATATATCCTCATCTACATTGCAGTAATGATTCAGTTTTGCAGCAGTGTTTTTGTTCTCGTATTTTAAATGTTAATATTTGTAAGTATTTGTGAATTATAATTTTGCATGTGTGCATTTTTTAAATGTGCATGATCGGTTTGTAACTTTTCCAGAGTAAAAGTAGCCTATAGCCTATTTGTTAACTTTAACTTCTAATTTCCTGTTACTCTGTAAAATGTTTGATATGAGTTGTTTGAAAACCACCAAAACCCCTTTTCCTGCCTGTTTCCACACCCTTCCCCTTCTCTACCACATCCGGTTGACCTGGTGCATATAGCTTGTGCGGAGTACAAAATAAATTGTGTGTAAATATGTTAATAAAATGTATTTAATACTGACCAAAGTATATTTGTTTAATTCTCTTTTTGCAATTTTAATTATTGTTATCCGTCCATGTGGTTTTCTTTTTCTAAAGCCAAAGGGAAACAAACAGGAGGCACTGCAATGGTAAATAAAATCATATTACTTTTTATTTATTTAATACATTTTAAATGAAATATGGTGAAACATGTTCCTCTCATGACCCCGTTTCCAAACACCCGGCTTTAATCGTATGTTCTTGTCCCCTTTTTTCCTCTAAAACATTGCATTTACAAGCTTGAAGCCTCATCTTCATCAGTGAAGATGAAAAATGATTCATTGCATAAATACGCATAAATGATTGTTGTTAAATTATAAGATTAGAATACTTTAACGTGTTGCTAAGTCGTTGTTTTTCAACGGCTCTGGCAGAAACTTGCGCCTTGTTGCTAGGAGACGCGTGACAAATATAAACAGTATGTTCTAAAATCGGCTCAGTCAGATATCAAACGTGTTTGAAATTTGGAAACTAGTCTGAAGCTAAAAATTAAGAGTCTGTGACCATCATATATTATTCGGGTTTTCTATGAAATCTGTCAACTCAAATCTGCAGACTGGCTCTGACTTTTAGAAACTAGAGTCAACTTCTCCAGACCATAAATCTGGGCAAAATTTGTGTAATGTATTCCAGTATTTAGGCACTTATAGAAAAGGTAACTTAGGTTTGATTTTCAGGGATATAATCATTTTTACTCTAGTCCTGTCTTCATTTTCATCCTGCAGGTAAATTAAAGAGGTCATATGACATTGCTAAAAAGAACATTACTTTGTGTATTTGGTGTAATGAAATGTGTTTATGCGGTTTAAGGTTCAAAAAACACATTATTTTCCATACAATGTACATTATTGTTTATCCTCTATGCCCCGCCTTTCTGAAACGCGTCGATTTTTACAAAGCTCATCTTTCTAAAAAAGCAAGGTGTATGTATGCTTATTCTTTGTATGTTTCCGTTCTCTACAATAAACAAACAAACAAAAAAAAAGCGAGGTGTGCTGTGATTGGCCAGCTATCCAGTGCGTTATGATTGGCCGAATACCTCAAGCGCGAGACGGAAATGTTATGGCAAGCCGTTTTGACTTTTATTCATTCTCAGGATATGAATTCTTTATATCAACAATTCAATTTTCACTAGAAACAATGTTAATTCTTGATATCTGTAATTTGTATTTTCACTAGTTAAATGTCACCATAGGCTGCCATTCAAATTTAATTCAAGAATTGATTTCTTACTAGTTGAAATGACAATTTCACTTTATCAGAAATACAATTCTTACTAGTAAAACAGACTGGCTCTGACTTTTAGAAACTAGAGTCAACTTCTCCAGACCATAAATCTGGGCAAAATTTGTGTAATGTATTCCAGTATTTAGGCACTTATAGAAAAGGTAACTTAGGTTTGATTTTCAGGGATATAATCATTTTTACTCTAGTCCTGTCTTCATTTTCATCCTGCAGGTAAATTAAAGAGGTCATATGACATTGCTAAAAAGAACATTACTTTGTGTATTTGGTGTAATGAAATGTGTTTATGCGGTTTAAGGTTCAAAAAACACATTATTTTCCATACAATGTACATTATTGTTTATCCTCTATGCCCCGCCTTTCTGAAACGCGTCGATTTTTACAAAGCTCATCTTTCTAAAAAAGCAAGGTGTATGTATGCTTATTCTTTGTATGTTTCCGTTCTCTACAATAAACAAACAAACAAAAAAAAAGCGAGGTGTGCTGTGATTGGCCAGCTATCCAGTGCGTTATGATTGGCCGAATACCTCAAGCGCGAGACGGAAATGTTATGGCAAGCCGTTTTGACTTTTATTCATTCTCAGGATATGAATTCTTTATATCAACAATTCAATTTTCACTAGAAACAATGTTAATTCTTGATATCTGTAATTTGTATTTTCACTAGTTAAATGTCACCATAGGCTGCCATTCAAATTTAATTGTTGATATCAAGAATTGATTTCTTACTAGTTGAAATGACAATTTCACTTTATCAGAAATACGATTCTTACTAGTAAAAACCTTTATTTTTGATATCAGTTATCACATGGTTACTAGTACAGGGCTGTGTTCAGCCCCGTCAAAAACGGTGCAAAACGTTTTTTAAACAGTCACTGCCCTTGCCCTCCAGAATAAAAGAGAGCATCCTAATCGAGTGAAGGGATTTGTGGAAACTGTGGTTCCTAATTATTGTGATCCAACATTTGCCTCGCATTTCAGGATGAAAAGACAAACATTTCAGGTGAAGGATAATCCACTTCTTACCTCCAAGACTGTGTTATGATCTATATGACCTTATTATTTTAATTGTGAGTATTAGGCTTATCATTATTGCTGATCACTGTTGCTGTGTTATGATATTGTAATACTTACCATTATATAATCAGAGGGGTATAGAAAAGTTTATGAAAGTGTCACTCCATAATACAGTAGAAAGATATATAAATATGTATAGTATTTTTATGTTACATTAATCAGTATTTAGCACACCTTTAGGGAAAGGATATGGACCAGAAGAATTACTAAATGATATTTAGACAGACTTAAAGAAGTTCCAGATCTATACTTGTGCCCTTATTATTTCAGTTATTTTGCCTTTAATGTAAATAAACATGTGCAAACAATATACTTGCTCTTGTGAATTTATTTGGATGTTAATTACATTGTGCCAGCTGTCTCTTTAATACTGTGTGGTTTATATACATGTTGCTGCTGATTGGGCTGACATGTTTGACACACCCACCAAACAAGAGAAAACGCATCTCAAACCCCGTTGCACACCGTTTCCAGGAAACATGTTGTTCAAAACGGAAACCGTAGCAAAACGGTGCACACCAGTTTGAGCTTGAACTTGCCCCAGATGTCTATTGTTGATATCAACAATTTAATTGTCACTAGTGACACTGTTAATTTCTGATATCATGAATGTGATTGTTACTAGTAACAAAAGTAATTTTAGATATCAGAAATTACTCTCCCAATTGTTGATATCAGAAATACATTTTCAGATATCAAAAATAACAAATGTAACATGTTGAAATATAATTACAGATATCAAGAATTAACATTTCAACTAGTGACAATGAATTCTTGTATAAACATATTTACTAGTGAAAACTGAATTGTTGATATCAAAAATTGCAATTGTTACTAGTAGAAATCCAATTCCTGATATCAAGAATTAACATTTTAACTAGTAAAAATTGAATTGTTGATATCAAGAATTCATATCCTGAGAATGAATAAAAGTCAAAACAGCTTGCCATATGCCATAGCCGTCTCCCAGCACGACGAGACTCATGCCTTTTCCAAATACCCACACTTGCGGTCTTTG